GTGGAACACGGGGGTCGCATTGATTGTTTTGCTGAAAACGGCGACAGTCGGGCTCATCGGACTGTTTGGCTCTCTGTTCAAGGTGACGAATATTCCGTTCTTCCTATCTGTTGGACAGATGTCACTCAAAGTCCATACAATAGGGAATAAAAGAATAACCGCACCCTAGCGATGTAGGAAATGCAGCCGAGAAATCTCGACAAACGGACGATGCGAATTAGGGACCCTGAAAAAAAAGTGGACCTCGACGTCTGGACAATGTCTTGAGACGCACACACTCTCCCAAGATTTCTAGAAAAATTGAGAAGCAATCTTTTCAAAATTTTGATACAGTATTTTTAAAAAATTGAGATGTCAATTCACAAAAATTTTAGATACCGTCCGTTATGATATTACTCTGATTCTTAATCAGAAGGGGCTAATTTGTTTCAGAATTTTTTTTCATACTGTGTGCACAGTATAGAAAGACTTGTTCGTGTTCTTTGCTTCTTGAGTTGTTCCTGATGGCAGAAGATCAGATTCTGTACAGTTTATCTGTGTATATTGAAGTTGAGAACCCATTTGTGAGGGCTTCATTCTTAATTTTTGAATAATTATGGGAGAACTTATTAGATACTGTATGTTCCTTTTGACGTCTATGGGAAAAATTGATCCAACATGCGGACGCTTTGACATAGGGGCAATGTCCAGCACCAATTACGTCCGCATCTTGATCGGGGTCCCACTGTAATTGGGAGAAATTATTCAGTGGTCTTGGATCAATAACTTCATGGTTTTCAAAATATTGGACGCATATTACCCTCAATGCAACTAAATTTTGTCGAGCAGAGAATAACAGAAGAGACTGATGCAGGCTTTTATTCAACTCTCTTCTAGCGTTTTAAAGTGTGGAATATTCCAAATTTTTTTCTTGGTTAATATGCTCAGCAGCAGGTAGATTTCAATCTTTCGTGTATATTTATTTGCTTTCAGATGTCCCACAAGCGCCGGTTTTGACGGAAATTCATCGAACCAGTGATTCCGTGAGTGTGGAATGGACTCAAGATCACTTTGTCAATGACAAACCAATAGAAAATTTTCTGCTGAGCTGGAGAAGTGAGAGTGAAGAAAATCACTGGATGACCAAACTGCTCTTGTCAACTGAACGTAGTCACAAAATCCAGGTATGAAATCTCATCTCGGGTACCTTTAGCGAAATTCATACGAACCCCTGAGGCCCTGACGCATACAATGGGGTTTTCGTCTTTCAAATACAGCATCAGGCAAATAAGTTTCACTCCAAAATTTGAGATCCACACAACCATTGTAAGACGTGAATATTTATCTGCGGGCACTTTTGTAATTCTTTATGGTGTACTATCCATGAATCGTTATGTGAAATTCAACTTCCTTTCCAGCGCAAAAATCAGCCCGTGGAACAAAACTGGTTTACAGTACTTATATTTTTGTTGAATTGAGAATTGAACAATATTTTCTAAAATTTCCTAGATTAAAAATGGGGTCACCAGAAGTGAAAAGCATGTGCCATTAGACTCATGTGATACAGTATATAATCAACTATAGTTTAGTGATTTTTATTTACAGCATCCTCTTGTGCTTTTCTGTTTTGATGAATTTTCCCGCGATGCCTTCGCATTTTCCTCATCGCTGCGGATAGAATAAAAATAAAAATAAAAACGACGGGCGAGGAAACAATTAGTCCTAATCCCGTTTACTTCATTTAATCTAGGAACTCACATGCGGGGAAAACTACCGAGTGAATATAAAGAGCAGGAATGCCATCGGATGGAGTCAGCAAA